ATGTTAAGAAATGCTAATTTTTAAGTGCCACTTTTCAAAAATATCACATTTTCAAAATCTTTTAAAAAATGCCACTTTTTTGAAATTATTTTTTATTATATCATTTATGTTTGAGTTAACTATGTTGTATTAGAGTTTAGTTTTGAGGGTTTTAAGGGTTTTAAGGGTCAAAACATTTTTTAGAGGTTTATAATTTTAAGATTGAGGTTTCAAAAATCCATAATTAGTGACATTTTTGCAAATAGACACCATAAATGGTATTCTTGCAATTATACACTCTAAAAATGGCATTTTTGCAATTAAACCATCATTGTACTAAACCATCTTCTTTTATACACCATCTTTGTACGTTAGATGGCATCTTTGCAATTAAACCATCATTGAACTAAATTTGAGACTTCATTGTACTAAACCATCTTTTTTTATACACATAATAATGACCACCTTAAAATGTGAATTTAGTTCTACATGTTAACTCGTCGAATTACCGGATTTCTACGCTTTACGACTAATCACATGAATATAAAGTTCTATAAACATCCAATTTATACCTAATTGATAATGAATGTATTGGTCAATGTTTATCATATGTTATTCAATGTTATTTACATTTTTTATGTGAGGTTCCTAGCATGCTTCCTCAAAACCATACATATTTTGATCCATCTCGAACCTAATCACATTTTAGAACTGATAATAAGTCATACTTAGATCAATGATTTAAGCTATAATACTATGTTTAGTTACAGGAGCTTTCAACTTCAAATTGTTTGGTAATGAGTCTTCCTGATTTATATATTGATAAATTATTCTAGTCTCTTCATTTTTTTCTGCGTGGACCTATAAGTTTTTCYTCTTTCTATTGTTTTATCATATATAATACTAAAAATAAAACTCTTCGTTATACAATCATGTTTTCTATTGTTTTATCATATATATCACTAAAAATAAAACTCTTCGTTATACAATTATGTTTTAAATTTGATATTTGATATCTATGTTATTCTACTCCGGGTGTTTTTTTCTCTCATAATGATGCTATTCCGGGTGTTTTAAGAATCAAATTTTGACACCTCATTTCATTATTTTATTTTCCCGGTAGAAATCAATTCATCAAGAATATAATCTTTCATGGAAATAATTACTTTGTGAATATTTTATAGTAGTGGTACTCTCTTTGTCTACATAGTAGTGGTATTACGTCAAAAAAAAAAAAAGTAGTGGTATTATCCGGAGCATTTTAAAAAGCTCTCCTTTTCAAAATATAAAAAGAAATGTCCGTCCGTTGATTTGTTCCTAAATCAATTGCAAACACGAGTAAAGTAGATGTCTCGGCTTTGTTTCTTCGCCTGTCCTAAACCATATCTATAAGTGGGTAGTGCATTGTACCAAACTTGAAAGATCTTGTCTATACGCATATTCCACTTGGACACTTGAAATTTGACATTCAACTAATTTTTTTAATTATATATAATATATAGTCCATGCATTAATTTGATTCATTCATGTCTCCTCGATGGTCCATTATCAGTTAGGCCAAAAGCTTTAATATCCCATCTCTTATTCTTTATTATTAACTATTATTAT